AGTGTGTGCCTCTATCCCCAAAATGGGCGGTCTTTTCCGCGCGGTATCCACGTAAGACCCCGCCAAAGTTTTTTGCGGGTAAGCTGATAACTCGCGAACCAGAAAAGCTAGAGAGCTGAAATTTTATGGGAATGTTCCCCACGCAAATAGGTACTAATGAGCTCAAATCCAGCTTCCGGGTAAGCGTGGTACCCGCTTACGGGCCCCCCCCCCCCAAAATTTTTCCGCGTAACTTCATAACTCGGGGTTCTGAAACGCTAGGAAGCTAGAACTTTAGGGGAATGTTCCCCATCCAAGCAGGTGCTAATGAGCTCAAATCCAGCCCCCGGGTTAGCGTGGTACCCGTGTACGGGCCCCCCAAAATTTTTCCCGCGTAAATTCATAACTAGGGATTCTGAGAAGCTAGAGAGCTGAAATCTTAGGGGGTGTTCCCTGTCCAAGTGGGTATTAACGAGTTCAAACCCTGCTCGCGGGTAAGCGTGGTACCTACGTACAGGCCCATGAAAATTTTCTTCCGGGTATGTTACTTACTCGACAACGTGAGAAGCTAGAAGACTGAAATTTTGAGGGGATGTTTCCAGACAGTTCTGGCGGCCAGTCTGAAATTCTTTCAGCTAGAAGCACCTGCCGAAAAAACCGATGCCGGTAGCGACAAAAACTGCGGGGGAACTCTGCAAAAAACGCATTTTCGCACGGACAGCCCGTTGTGGCCAATTGTTTTTTTTTTTGAATCAGCGAGCTGGAACACTGTGCCAACTTTCCACAGCGCATCTCAAAGTCCCGAATGCCACAGAAAAACTAAAAGAAGTGCTCTCCGCTCAAAACTCAAATTTATGAACACAACCTAGTAGTATGAAAGACCAGTGTTGTTCATACGAACTTGATGTCATAAATGAAAATCCCATTTGCGATAGGCACTATTTATGTTTTTTGCCGTGTAGCGCTAGGGCGCTGTAACAGGCAGCAAAAACGCATATTGCAACGATCCTGTCAGTGTGTATGTGTGTGTGTTCGTCTGTCCGGGTATTTCAACTTGCCAACCACGCAAACTTTGAAGCTGAAATTTTGCCAGTATGGTCACCAGTTAAGTGTCACCCCAAGACCGCGGTATCAACTCCCACGCACGTCTGAGCCCCGCGTACGATCACGTGAAAGTTTTGGTAAGAAAATTGCTAAATCGAGAACGAGAAAAGCTAGAAAGCTGAAACCATAGGGCAGTGTTCCCTACTCGTGTATGACAAAACGACTTCGAATCAGCTGCCTAGGACTGCCCGGGACTTACGTACGGGCAAGTGAAAATTATGGCGGGAAAATTCATAACTCGAGAATGAGAAAAGCTGGAAAGTTGAAACCTTGGGGGAATGTTCCCTACTCTCGCACGATCAAAAGTTTACAAACTCAGCTCTTTAGGACTGCTCAGGGCTCACGCACGGGCACGTGAAAGTTTTGGGGCGAAAATTACCAACTTGGAAACTGGAAAAGCTAGGAAGCTGAAACTTTACGGTAATGTTCCCTACTCATGTATGACCAAAAGATTTCAAATTCAGCTCCTTAAAACCACCCGGTGCTCACCTACGGACACATGAAAATTTTGATAGGAAAACTGCCAACTCAAGAGGAAATGTTCCCTACTCCTGTGCGATCAAAAGATTTCAAATTTAACCCTTCTGGTGCCGCCTTTTTTCGGACCAGCAACTTTCTATAATATTTGTCGGGCCACTGAAGTCAACATCTACAACTGACATAATACATAGCTGCACAATTAACTTCCCGAACTTCGAGGGCCGGTACGCCACAGAGTTAGCTACTGTGATTCCTTGCGATCTTGCTACGGCACGAAAAGTGCAAAAGCGCATAATCAGGCCGGCCCGCCTCGTGCGTTCTAGCCTGGGTTTTGGAAGCTGAAGCTTTCAGATCGGTGTTTTAACAGGAAAAACGGTGCTTGTCGTAGCAGCAAACAGGGTATGAGGGCGTGTTAGCACAGGGATGATAAGCTGATAACTGTTACCTGAGCATCCTACGCACAGATGTGTCAGAATAATCAGTAACGGTGCAGCGGACATATGTGTATCCATTTTTGTGCGAACGTACGAAAGTACTTCGCAACGTTAGAAGTGAAGTGTTGGGATGAGTACTGCAAAGTTCACTGAGGGACGGACGGCACTGCTGGCAGCACTGAATCCATGAACTACTGCTCATAATACAGTATTTCGCCCAATTCGGTAATTGACGAAATTTGCGTG